AGCTTTGTAGTTGTCGGCGAAAAGGGGGCGACCTTAATATGTATTGTTAAAAACTAGGTAAAAAAGTTAAGTAGTGCAAAGGAATTAACGTAAACGGTTTTTCTATTTAATTATGTTGAAAACAGAAGTGAATGAAGACTAGTTTTGAGGTTATCCTAATCATCAAGTGAATCGCGTGAATGAATCTTTTTTTTTAAGCCCTACACGTCCCTGTCTTGTCTAAATTTTTCTGGACATCGCTACCGAAAAAACCCGCGTTCAAACCGACTTGTTTGTTAGGCGTATGGTAAACTAATTAAGTCGTACATAGCAAAATATATTAAGGAAAGAAACTTATCGCATTCGATTTCATAGACTTTGATGATATATGTAAATAATAGCTCTGTTTTGATAAACAACCACAAATTCGTTTGACTTCATTCGATGGAAAGCCGTGAAATAAACTGTGTCAGTGATTTGTAAATGAGGTTGAATGGACTCTCGCTTGATAACCGCAAGAATACTTAAATATTAATAATTTTCAGACTTAGTTAAAAAAAATTGGATTATTTTAAAATCACAGAGATATAAAACAGCTATTTAACAATGGACGGAAAAAAAAGCTGGAAGTCGAACTTCATCATCATCATCATCATCATCAGCTCGCTATACGTCCCAACCGGGGGGCACGGAGCCTACCCTACGTCAAGGGTGATTAGGCCATAGTCAACCACGCTGGCCAAGTGCGGGTTGGTTGACTTCACCTTTGATTTTCTTCTCAGATATGTGCAGGTGGCATCACGATGTTTTCCTTCACCGTAAGAAAGTCGGATAAATGTACATATGTAAATCGGAAATCGAAAAACACATTGGTATATGGTGGTATTTGAACCCAGGACCTACAGATTGCAAGTCAAGTGCTTGACCTCTGAACCACCGACGCTCTATCTCTCGAATCGAACTTAGGGGCAAAAAAATAACTGTATATAAAGGTTTTGTACCACACGTAAGACAATGTAACTATTAAATATTCATAGTGTTACAAAAAAATATATGCAACGCGAAATTCGGATGTATTGTTCAGTAGCGCAGAAGATAGTGCGGAAATTTTCCCCGCTATTTGCAGCAGGAGGCCTCGTTTGCTTTTGATATTCACAATCGAGGCCTTTGTGTGTGCATTGCAATCCACTACAATATGGAATCACCGTGTAAACAGAGAATGCGTTATTTATTATATTCGATGTTCTTTTTATAACATGATGTAATTTTTGAAAATGGCGAACCTAAGTTTATTGGCATCTACTATTTACCTTTGGTTGTTTGGTTTTAAACATGCTTAGAATTTATTTTATTGAGTAAAGATTTCGTGAGTGCCATTAATTAAAAAAAATATTTTATTTATATCTACAAGACACATTATTTGCAGCAGTAGCTATTTCCCGATCTCATAGTATGTTTAAGTTGGGTATAAGTCTTTGTATGGTGTACTGTATAAAAACGTTCTGGTTATTTACATTGTTCTTGTTTTCATAAGTCTGGTTGACGTTAATGCAGTAAGTCACAAGGTTACGTAATACAGTTGAAATCGATGTCACCACGTCGTCAGGTCGAAGACCTCGTATGTTGAACTAGTGTTATTATCTTACGTCTCTTTTTAGTATCATGATTATTCTTTATGCCTGAATAAATGTTAAACTTTCGGCAAATACACTGGTGTTGTTTGTGTCCAAACACGAAAAATAAGGCATTTTCGAATATGGGGTTATAACGTAATGACAACGGCAACGCATCTGCGGTTCCTCTGGTATTGCTGATGTCCATGGGCGTCGTTGAACACCTTGGTGTTCCCGCTGCGGGTTTGCCCCCTTCTCTTATAAAAAAAATTCTATTCATAATTCGTTATATGATGGAAGACTACAATAATAATAAAACTAGAGCAGTAATAAGGCAATGTAGTCAGTTATTCAATGTCCGGCGATTGCAGCCGCAAACTTTGTCACATTTTACGAGGATTCAAATTTGTACTAGTATTTGAGAAATTTTAATTAAATTTAACAAACATTCTGGAAATATATTGTTACATTTCGACTAATAGATTTTGATATTCATTTAATGGTAAGGTACTCGGAAGTATAATTTAAAGCTGACGATACGACTTTTGTTTTAAAAACGTTACCCTTTTATGTCGGGCAATAGACAGCAATATTTACTACGTTTGATCGTAAATATCACATGCGCGGATTTTTCACATATCCCATGCGTGCATTTCGATTATCTCGACGAAAAATTGTCGAAAAATTCAGGCGAAATCGTTAGCGTAAAACGCTTTAAAGTGTCGCCGCGAAACCAACACGTACTTTCCATTAATTGCTTTTTACGTTGTTTTTTATTTGGCGGTACGACTTTAGCGTTCAAACGGCCCGTGAACGGTTTAACAAATCAGAAGCGTAGCTCTGTACACAACGCGGTAACTTTTGTTGGGGTACTAACGAGCGATACAGACTGAGTATGGTAAAGAAATTGAAGGGTTTGGTAATGTTATTTTTATTTTAATTTGAGTGCAATACTGGACATATAGTGTATTGGCTATGGTCTTGGTTGTCTCTAACGCCAACGTCAAGTGTCAATCGTGACAGTCGTCACACGGCAAGCGAGCGCAGCGGTTGTATGGTGCGTTTGTATACGTGGTGTGGTGTCAAGTGAGCCGTAAAATTCTCCAAAGACTGAAGAAATACTAGTTATAAACATAGCCTATGTCACCGGGGGATATGTAGCTTTCCAACAGAGAAAGAATTTTTCAAATCGGTCCAGTCGTTTCGGACCCTATTCAAAGCAAACAAACATTGAATCAATCTTTACAATATTGTAGATCACGTTATGAAAAATCACATTATGAAATGGTCACACACATAACACATTTGACCTCTGCCGTATTACTTTGATAGTATGTACTATCAAAGTATTTGAATTGTTGAAGAATTGTTTTCGATGAAAAAGCTTTTATATGTATAAAAGCTTTTTCATCGAAAACAATTCATAATTAAATCAATCAGCTTGTAGACACGATAAAATTACAAATTATTTTCGATGCAGAGGTAATTAAAGGGCATCAGCCATTTTAGTTGAGAACCGTTTCCAGGGCAGCTAAAGTTAAATTACTTTCCGTAACTACAGGCCCATTAATCGGCAACTGATGGTGTAAAACAGCCTGCCCTGTTCCACGATAACGCAACCGAACTAACTAACAATTACTCTAAATTCTCTTACAATTTAGTATAGTTTTACACTATAGCAACACTATCTGTCGCCCGCGACTTCGTCTGCGCGGAATTAAAAAAACTTAGTGAGTAGCTTTTCTACATGCTAAATTTCAACAAGATCGATGCAGCCGCTCTGGTGATACCTTCAAACAAACATCCATCTATCTATCCATCCATCTAAATATTCGCATTTATAATATTAGTAAGATATGAGTACGATATAAGGATGTTGTAAGCATTGCCATTAGTCTGATGATATGAACCCTTACTGTTAATAAATTGCCTTTAGTTAGATCAAATCAATTGATTCTTAATGTCGTATTATTTCGTCCCGCAGAGAGTCAAGTTACCAGTTAATTGAAAACTGACTTTCATTATGATTAGTTGCGTTTTGTCAACACCATGTTTGTACAAAAGAAATAAAGTTAAAAGAACATTGATAATTATTATAGATAACTAAGTAGTTTCTTCAACAGTTACTGTGGATTTCCGATACCAATATTACCGCATAAAACATATTATTATCTCTGTTTTGTCAAAGATAATGACAGGGATGACGATATGTTTATATAGAATATATATTATAACAGTAGTAATATATGTTATAACAGTGGTAGAGCTCGCTTTAACATCTTCGCACGAATTGGCCCGGCTCGCCCGGTGAAATACCACGACCACACAGAAGACAGGCGTGAAGTGGAAGCTATTCCGCGTTTCGTCTGATGAGTGTGCGTCCCGGAGGCCAAAATTGGTCCTCTTTCCCTTCCCATCCTTTTCTTTATAAGGAAAGGATGGGAAGTGGAAGTGGACTTTCCGGATGAGAGGACGCATGGAAAGGGAAGATATTTTCTTTCTGTGCATCCTCTTCTCCGTCGATTTAAGGTAGGCAACGCATATGCAATTACGTATGTCTATGGGCAACGGTTACTTCGCTATTTCAGCGATTTCAGGTGGCCGCTCGCTCGTTTGCCCCCTTTTGATAAAAAAAATAGAGATTTTGGTGTCAGAAACCAACGTTTATTCATTAACAGTTAGTTATGCTTCACGGTTGATAGTGTTGTATGAAGTTTTGTATAATGCTCTAAAAAAACTAATATAAAAGTGTCGAGGCGTGGAATTCGTCTATTGTGAGGGCAGACGTAGACGTGTAAGAAATGAAGGAATATTTCCACAGAGTTTGTTCACGAGGCGTAAAGTTGTTTTTATAATTCACACACGAGCCCTTTGTTTGGCTTAGAAAAATCTGCCCTTGTTCATGTATCATGACGCTTTTTACATTCATTTTTATTGAGTTGAAAATTTTATGAATGGTACATTTTGTTTTGTAGGCTTTTCCTTAGTATTTATCCCTATTATTGATTTTGAGAAATTCGTCTATGAAAACGTATGTGTTTTCAAAAATGACACGACATTCCCTAATATATCAAATAGTAAATAGTATGGTATGAACTATACAAAAGTTCACTTAGTAAGTTTTTTTTTTTACTCGGAATTTTTTTTTAGCCAATAAACTAATTATAATTACATTTAACAATGCTAATCACGGTGCGTCTAAATAAAATTCAATAGGGATGTAATGAAAGTTGTTAATTTTGTTGGCTTTGATATTCGTCCTTCATAAATATCGGCATTCGGAAAGCGATGGAAAAAAGAAACGGTTTGACACAACCATTATGCGAATCCATCCCCTTCGCAGGGGTGTCACGCATGCGCAGGGCACTGAGCCGCGCCGCCCGCCGCAGTCCGCCGCCCTGCTGCCTCGGCGCCGCACGTCGCAGCCCAACCACCCTTTCTTCAACGCCGCACTGACGTCGAACGAGTTATTTTTATCATGTTATAACGTGTGAAAACCTGTGCTAGAGTGTTGCTGTGACCTTATGCGTTGATGGATGTTCACAACTCTTTCTTCTACCACTGTGATGTAAGTAGTCTAAGATATTCGGGTCACCTCAATACCCAATAGTCTACGTAAGGAGAAATTAAATGCTTAATTCCGATTGTTATCAGACGCGATTACATCGACGTGGTAAATTTTACTCTACTACCAAGTCTGATTCTGTCACGTAACACGTTACTTAAACGTTAGGATTTTCAACATGTTTTGCGTCTAACTGAATTGTTAATTTATTGAAAATGAGCACGAAATAAACAGTGTGGTAAAATTATATTCGAATATTAACTAGGAATTATAATCTACAGCAGAAACTAGAATATTCCTTCCCTAAATATAAGCAAAAAGGCTTCAAGCGGCCAGACTAGACGGTCCCAAACACAGAGCTAAGCTCTTTAGGGGAATCGGATTAGGAAACTAAATTACGCAGAATATTCTGTAAAAACTACGCCTTAGAAACGGAATGAGCGTGACCCTATTTATGTTCACGGCACGATCGAGCAACGGAAAACGACCCCCGAGTACGACTTCTAATAAACTCAAATGCGGTATTTCTCCTTTAACAATTATTCTGTCACGACAATTTATTATGCTGAGCTTTTGTGGTGCGCGTTAAAAAGGTTACGTGGCAACATTTCGTTTTAAAACTGTTTCCATGCTGTTGTATAGTGTTAATCGGTTGCCTAGCTCATTTTAACATGAACTATTAAATGTTCATAATATGCTGAGTAAAATTGTATTGTTTTTTAGCATTCTACAAATATTATTGTCCATGAAATTTGTCGACCTTGTAAGGACACGCAAAATTACTAATCTCAGACGTTGTCTATCACATTATTTGTCAAAATTTTCACGATTTCACAAAACAAATGGAACTACACTTAGCATCATTCAAACAAGCGCTTTGTATATTATGAACCTAGCCGTTTAACTTTATGACGCGTATTTCTTACAATTACCTAAGTATACACTACTTTCCCATACAAATTTTATTTAAAAATACTAAAAGAAAACACCTTTTTAACTTTTTTTTAACAAAAACATATCTTATAACAGACGGAATAGGTCAAATGAATTTTCAGTCGACGGACCCGCTGTATGCTAATGACTAAATTATATTTCGCTGTGTTTGGGTTTTGCAAACAAAGTTCAAAGGGGCGAGTATGATGGAGATGGTTTGATATTAACTAAATTTTCGTATCTTTATATCTAATAAATTATTCTCTTTTAACCGAAATCAATACTCGATTCTAAAGTACGATTAAAAAATTGTCTTAATAGCTTTGAATGGTTTGAACTTTCGAGCGATAATATAGTGAATTTATTGACCATCTTAACTCACGTATGATCGTCTGGTGACGGCACCGATTAGTTTCAGCCCCCTTGCTGTCCATCTTCAGGGCGAGTGTTTATTTTGGGTTCTTCGCTATCGTGTCACGTCTCGCTTAATGCCTTTTCCGCTATATTTACTAAATTCCTAATTAATTTATTAATAACTTTATATGAAAGAAACACAGAAATGATTCAATCGTTATCTAAACAATTTAATATACGTTTTAGGTTATTATTGTGTTCTTTCGATCAGATAAATTTGAAACAAATATATAAAAAAAAATCGCGGATAAGTAAAATAGTTCGAGATGGATTGTTGATTTCAGTCGCTTATTAACATTTCGAGTTTTAGAATATCACAAAGGTTGATTACCATTATAATTTTGTGAAGAAAGGTTTTAAAATTATTTAGAGCGATAGCTGAGTACTTTGATTGAACGTTATTAAATCAATGAAGAGTCCTTTCTCTGCTATTGACTAATGGAATTGTATACCTGTCATTCAACGTTAATTGAATGATTGTCAACGCGAGTTTTATGTTCCGATGCGAATTTCATCCCAATGATGATATCGCAAGTCGAAATGAAATTATACATACAACTATATCCTATATGGATGGTAAATTGTATCCGGGCATTGTGGCAATCGATGGGGGAGGCCTACATCCAGCAGTGGACAAGTTTAGGCTGAGTATGATGATGATGATGGATGGTAATGATTAGAAAACATATAACAGCTTTGAATATGTAGTTAATTTTAATAATTTGTCTATTATTAAACATAAATAGAAATAATTCTTTGAACCAACTAAAATGACTTGAATGATTTCTACAAAGTTTTAACCTTTGTACTTTAGGTCGTTAACTTTATGTAGTTATCTTGTAATATTTGTCTTTGTAATATTTGAAATACTTCTCAGTTTACATAAGGAGTGTGGGCTTGAAGTTATATACCGAATTATTTGCTTTGTAAAATCTTTACATTAAGTTTTATCAATCGGCATGAAATAGTTTTTTTCGCATATGACTAATGCTCCCATCCTTAATCTTGGCACGTATATTTTCACCCTCAACAATTTAGTGCCCACCCTCACCCACCACTCTTATAACGCGTCGGATAAATTAATTTTGGTTCTGTAGTGGGGGAATTTTATCCCTCAATGTTATGTAAAGAAAAGTTTTTCAGTTTAACTATAATGGATAACCATTAAAACTTTGGTATCCGACTCTCTATGAAATTCGACGTTTATCATTATACACCAATGGCTAAAGTAATTATTATGTACTTATTAATAACTAGCTACCGCCCGCGACTCCGTCCGCACGGAATTAAAAATAAACTTATAAAGTAGCTTATGTGTTCGTCCAGATTATGTTCTACATCTATGTCAAATTACAGCAAGATCCATATAGCCGTTCCGGAGATATCTTCAAACAAACATCCATCTAAACAAAATACGATGTTTTAAATTTTGTCTTTCCTCAAACTGTTACTGTGTATTAACTCTTCCATCTGTGGTCGGAGAAAATCCTATTGATGACAAAATGTTTTTGTACAGGTATTTTGACAATGGAAACCTACGATTAACATGTGTGATGCGATATATTCGGACCGTTCGTAGATTTATCTCAGTAGTGCGGGGCTCAATGTTGTCCGCCGCGTATCCAGTTCTTGGACAACTTGGAGTTATACTTTGACAAATGACATTGGATTTAGAGGACACTTATGTAGGCACATAGTTTTACTTATTATTCTGTTTTACATTTACATTTGTAATAAAACTTACTGTATCCTTTTAAGAGTATAAAGATATAAGATAAAAAAATATTTCTCTAATTCAATTAATTCATTTAAAACGATTTGTATTACGACAATGTTGGCTTGTTAAACTTTGTTAGTTAACAAAGATCTCGTCCGACTTGTCTTTCCTATTCAAAAGTTCAATGAAGTCTTCATGGCTGTATACTAGCTAGCTATTGAAATAAATAGCTTCAGTTATTTAGGAACTGTGTACAATTGTGTATTGTAGTGTAAATATTTGTGTAATTTTCAATTGATTTTATAACCACAATGCGATATGTAAGAACCCCTTGCTAATCACTTGATCCTCGTATCGTGTAGGTCTATCAGCCCCTCGACAGATGTATCCTATCAGACCACAGTACATGAATCACTCCAATTTGTTACACCAATAATGAAAATCTTTTAATGGTGACTCATCCCTTTAAGTTAAGGATTTTTTGGATACAATGACGTCACTTTTATTTACTTAATAAAACATTGAATTAAGAATTTGATGAATAATAATTTTATTATATTGTAAATATTTAAAAATACATAACTTCGCGATATATATGATGCAAAAATGATTTAGAAAACCGAGTACTTTGCTTAGATTTTACTGATTTTGTACTCAAACTCGTTTTTGCGTTGTGCTATCGTGTACCTAGAAACATATAACATAGTGTTGGCTGTATTGGAATGATAAATGTGTGCCATTATCCGGTACGGTTCAGTGACGTCGATCCATTTCTCGGACGCGATAAATCTTTGACAAATTGCACGATCTCTGTCTGATGCACTGCTCTGTGATATGTTGAACATAACACGACGTTATATCCCATAGGGATGTGACGGATTACATGCATGATAATGTTGGTAACATGATATGTTGGATGTCAGCTGAATATATTTTATAGAGTGTATCAAGTTTTTACGACTAAATTAAACCAATGGGGACTGTGAAATGTTGCGATTATTATAACTTACATAAGTATATACCTTGTTAGCAATTTATTATCATTTATGTGTGTTTCTTTAAACCATTTACAAGAGGCAAAGGTATTTACATTTTTTTTTTGATCGCGAGTAATTTAAAAATACATGTGACGTATTCGGATTTTTGTTTTATTAAAAAAAATGTCGGGTTCTAACTGATAATCATCATCTTCAGCTCACTATACGTCCCCACCGAGGGGCTTGGAGCCTACCCTAGGGTGATTAGGCCATAGTCAACCACGCTGGTCCAACGCGGGTTGGTTGACTTCACACATATCTTTGAATTTCTTCTCAGATATGAGCAGGTTGCATCACGATGTTTTCCTTCGCCGTAAGAACGTCGGATAAATGTATATATGTAAATCGGAAATCGAAAAACATATTCCTACAAGTCGGGATTCGAAACCAGGACCTGCAGATTGCAAGTCACTTGACCCCTGAGCCACCGACGCTCTGACTGATAATACAGTTATAATATTTTACATGGTTAAGTGTATGCTGAAATTTTTGTGTATAATTTTAATCCCTTAAAACTTTTTTATTATCAAAGCTTGTACACTGTAAGTGCTTTCATTTAGAAGTTTTAGTACAATTCTTTCACTTTCCTCTAATGTTAGAAATTAGCCTCCTTGGAGTATTTAACTTTTGACTTACGTAACCTAACTACGACTTAATATCCGCTCTTAGTTTAAACTTGGTTGTAACTTTATTAGGTGATTTTTTTTATTTTACTTATTTTAGCTTAGATTTTTTTCACTTCTTGATTAGTCTTTTGCTTTTAGCTTTATAAATCCACGTCGACCCTCACCAATCAAACAAATTCACGACCCCAGGGAATGTTCCCTTTGCAAGGGGATATGTCCAATTTAATTGTGCGACTGGGGATGATGACTCATTTCATTCGTATAACATAACGTATA